GGCCCCGGGGAACGGGAGCCCGGTGACATTCAGGGACAAAAAAGTGGGAGCGTACCGGTGCGCAGGAGCGCGGTGTACTCGCGGTCAGCTTCGTGGTACGGTTGATTTCCTAAATAGTGTGCCGGCATGCTGCTTTTTTTTTTTTAACTAATTAATTAGGAACTGTAATACACTAAGCTCGCTTGGTCAGTGGGATTAATTAAGGAAGTACTGGTGGGTACACGGATTTGGGTTTTACAGCTTCCCACGGGGCTTTGGTTCATGGATATTAAACAGCTCGTAATCACTTATTTTCCGTGGGATTCCTTATAAAGATCTAAAAATCACTTTGGCGGCCTTTTAAAATCATTCATCCCAGTGCTTTTGTGCCATGTACGCACGTCCTTCGTCCGATTTTACAGCTGGACAGACGGAGGCATCCAGGTCTGCCGCAGCTTTCGCGCAGGTCGGGCGGAAGCGGCGGGGCTGTAGGCGTGAGCCATGGACGGCGATTCCCCGGAGCGTCGAGCAGGAGAACACCTTCGCCTTCAGGTCTGTCGTGCTAACGTGACTCATAAGAAGCATCAAACGCCGCGCTGCTGGTGCTGCTTCCTTCAGATCTTGGCTCCCCAAAGATGCCTCATCCAAATACGGTCCCAAGCCAGAACGAGGGGACTCGGATCTTCGCAAATGTGATTAACTTCACTCGTGTGAGCCGTCCCGTCGGGATGCCTTGCCGTAGTACAGATAAACGTGTGTAATTGCAGAATCGAGGCCTTGGGCTGTGAGAAGCGAGGAAATCGCAGCTCGAGGTGGTGTGTCTGTCGCTTCTTTGTGGGAGGTTTTGTGTTAATAGGCAATTAATGCAATGTGTCAAACAAATAAAGCTTTAAATATTTAGGGATTAGGAGGCCCCTGATAAAAAAAATCACAGGAAAAAAGGAAGATTCCCCGATCACCACAGTGGCATTTAAATGCTCAAAGAAGGATAGGTGGGATAACATAGACAGACGGTGAAATACCTTGTGTTCAGCGTGTCGGGATTCCCTGAGGAAAGCTGGTGATGTATATCAAAATGCAGAGGAGAGGAGGAGCCTCATCATGTGGCCAGACTTCCCTGCTGAGTGTCTTTATTTCAGCATTTTACTGCCTGTGGAAGCCGTCCCAGGCAAACACTATGCCTTATTTGTTTAGCGTTGTTTTTTGGAAGAGGAAAGATGTAATCACCAGTCAGTCTGCTGTAATCTGTGAGCTGGCGAGGCGGCGTCCCCCACCTCTCCTTTGGATGGGGCTGCACAGCGCGGGAAGGGACGAGGGGCTGCTGGGGCTGCAGGTGGGAAACCAGCGACCAGAGGCTCAGCTGGGCGGGCAGGCGTTTGCTCGTGAGCAGCCCCAGCTCCAGCGCTCTGTTTCAGCCACTGGATAGAACAATTATCTGGCCTTCTCTCCCGGATTTTGTTAATCTTTTTAACAGAAGAGCTTCGACAGAATACACGTGTCCCCCCTGCAGCACTGAAGCATTCTCCTGGAACGGAAGAGCTGTGGGTTCAGAATTCCTCAGGCGAGGGATAAACTCGGAGGCCTCTGACTGCTGTGTAAGCGTAGAAAAATAGGACGGTACCTCCGCCTCCTGCACTTGGGACACGCTGGACTTGGCCCACGCAGGTGCAGGGTTTAAGGCGCTCTCCTATGCAGCGTATATCCTGCCGCCCGTGCCGGCGACGGCTTACGGCTCCTCCTCAGGGCACCTGGCGTCTTCAGAAGGTGTAAACTTGTGCCAGTGCCTGTTGCAAACCTTTGCTTGGATCCAGCCCTGGAGCCACATAAACACCACGTAGCTGGCCTTTGTAGAGTGTACGAGTGATTTCGGAGACATTGGGTTTATTTCATGAAAGCTTTGGGGATAAAACCAGTCCAAAACTAGGAGACCAAAGGAGAATTACTATGTTGTTGTACACATGTGGACAGTTTTGGTGAACACGAGTGTTCTTCATCATGTCTAGAAATCTCTTCATATTGAAAGAAGAAAGAAGAATGGTGTAAGAGGCAAAGGAAAAAAGAGCTAAATTAAAATAAAAACTGAGTATGTGGCATCGAAGAAGAGAACCCATTAAAAACCCTGTGCTGCTCTGCTTTTGCTGTGCATCCAAAGGGTAGAAGTTGTCACGTTAGAAAAGATCACACCTGGCTTTATGTGCATGTACGTACATGGGAGAGGAGAGGGCTTTTGGAGTTGGTTATTGCAGAAACTTTAAAGAATTGGGTAGTAGTATTGAAAATAAGTGGAGTTTAGGGTTTGGGGTTTTTTTGCTTGGCATTGTTACTGCTCTGTGAGTTTGTCTGATACCACAGCTACTGTCAGCAGAGAACAAAAAATACACAGAACTTTCCGATAATGACTGTAATTAGCATCACAAGCTATGGAAATTGCAGTATTCCCTAAAGGTTTCTTGTCATTCTCCCATGTTTCTGCACTGAAAATAAAGATTTTTAAGACAAGGTGCCTTCTGTGTTTGGTGCTGTCCCACTAATGGTAATGTTCCAGCTTCCGTGGCTGCGTGAATCCATTCTTAATGCTTGGGTCAGAGTCGGATTCCTGAGCTGGGCTGCATGAAAGCCAAATCCTGCCAGAGAGCAGACACGCTGCTCTTAACCAGTGTATGTTGTTCAGCACCCAAAACGAAGCCTTTTTCTGTATGATGTTGTCAAAGCACATAGCGTTGGATTTTCTGAGCTAGTGAAAATGATAGGAAAAGAAAGCGTGTTTTAAAATCCCAGTATGTGAGTGTTTTAATCAGGAATTCAGTGATGTCATAAAATAAGTTATTTTTGCCCTTACACATGTGCCAGGGCTGGGTCAAACTGCGCTACAAGGGCGGTATTATGGTAGGGTGGCGCTGAGTGATTTATTGGAGGCCTCGCTGTAGAGGCCGTTGGCATTCAAGGTGGGCAGGCAAAGCCTCCACCTGTAGCACGGGGCAATCGGTCGTCAACCCGCACGACTGAAAAGGTCTTGTGTTTCTTTCCTTGTTTTTTCAGTTTGGGTCCTTAACTGCCGTGTCTGAGCCATTTCTAAGCTGAATAATTTTGACAGCTGCCAATTTGGTACACATACCATAGGCTGGGGAGCCGCGGAGCTGCAAGGGAAACCCCAGCCTGAGC